GAGTCTGGTGGTGTTCTGGGTGAAGTGGCTGGTAACGTGCGAATATTCATTTCTAACCCGAGCTCAGCTGCTTTCTGTGAACAATAAATCTTTCAAAGAAAAAACACTAGAAAAATCTTTGTTTCCTGGTAGAAGCTGGGGTAGCTAGGAATGTACTCCCTCAAAATATAAGTTTTTTTAGATATTTTAAATGGACTATTATATATGAATGTATGTAGACATATTTTAAAGTCTAGCTTCATTTATTTTGTATCGTATGTAGTCACTTGTTGAAATCTCTAGAAAGACCTATATTTAGGAACCAGACCTATATTTAGGAATGGAGTGAGTAGAAGGAAACCAACATTGACCGTGTAAGTACTTTTCTCAGCTCGAGATCAAATGCTAAAGAAAGGTACATCTTCCACCATGGGCCGCTATAACTATCCAAAGTCTAAATTTTTTGAAAGAATGTACACTACAGCAGTGGAATTGGCTTTGGATCGAGAGGAACACTAGAATTTCTAGCGATCAAAAATTTCTAATGCCTCCATCTCAGGGTAAAAAGAATCATGTACACGTTTGTGCCATGCCATAAAGTGCAAGACCTAGGAGTGGGCTTTCTTTTGCTTCACAACATATGGTTCCAGAAATCTTAGCATCAGTACAGAAGTCAAGTTCGAAGAAATTGTATTATAAACTGAACTGTTTGAACAAATTGTACTATAAACTTGACTGACTGCAAGTTCCTTACAATCTCAAGTAGAACTTCATGTCTCTACTACAGAAGAAAGACAAATCAAAACAGGGCAAATGCAGTGCTCTAGAGCCTCAGCCTCTCATACCGCCTCGATTGGCAAAAATGGAAGCATGCAGGACCAATATCTTCAAACGGCTCAACAAGTAGATTCAGCACGGGCATTGCACGCCCTCACTTGTGATCCTGCTACTGATAGCAGTCAGAAAGAAAATAACAGCTGAAGACATTGGTACTGTACTCATCCATATCATTTTACCTACAAAAATCATTTAATCAGTTCAGGCTAGTACAAATTTGAAGACATTAGTACTGTACTCATCCATATCATTTTACCTACAAAAATCATTTAATCAGTTCAGGCTAGTACAAATTTAAACAAATGTAACATATACAGGACATTAAAAAAATTCACAAAAACATATACAGATCATTTCAGAACAATGACCTTAAATTTCATACAAAAAGCAGAGTAAAAAGACTTCAAAAGCTGCTACTGCTATAAAGAAAAGAGACACAACGGATAATAATCAGAATCACACAGACTAACAATCAAGCATCAAAATAAAGGAATGGGAAAACAAATTCATCATGAGCTAACTGCAGGAGCCGACACAGAACTTTGACAGTTCTAGATTCAACTATAATTCAGTAAAGTTGGTACAAATACACCAAGAGATTCATGACTATTAATTCAGAATTAGTGGTTAGAAATACAATGGGAGCTTCATGTCCTAGCATACACAGTATTCTTGAATCATTGTGATTGCCAAGAATGGAGACATGCAGCACAATATTCTATATCCAGGGCATGTAGAACTTGGAACACTCAATATAATCTACACTGAATCAACAATTGCAAGAGACCACATTGTCACATCACTGCTACCTGTAGTGCTCTTTCGGGTGGATAATCTTCAAATCTTGCCTTTGGATAGACCGCTTTCACTCAGTGCCACAAGTGTTTTTCTTCAGCACATGAAATCAATCACCATATCATGTATACGATAAGATTTTTCCATGCCTTTGTCAACATTGATGTCAATTGGTTGAATCATGCTCCTATTCACGATCTCATTGAGCAATTCTACCACCGAGCTCAAACTTGCTAATCCCTCATTTTTCATGATAAACAAAACCTCAAACTATCCACCTTACATATCGAATGAGCTTGCTTAATCTTCTAATCTTCTAAAAACATGCTTAGACATAATAACTAATCCTATAGATGAGAAGGTAGATCAAAACTACTGGTAAAAGAGGGTTGACTTCCAGATCATCACTCTTGTATATTCTACAAGTCAAGTGCCTCTTTTACTCATTTTCTTTGCTGCTTTTTATAGTTTTGGTGCATGAGTGCCTCTTTTACACCATGTGTTCATGTTCTATGATCTACCTTCGCATCATTTATTATACTTAAGCATATTTCCAGAAGATTACAAATTTAAGAGAGACCAACTGATATGGAGATGGATAGCTGAAGGTTTTGTGTGCCACGCAAACGAGAAATTGGCCCATTTGAGCTACGAGAGAGTTACTTCAATGAGCTCATAAACAGAAGCATGATCCAACCAGTGGGCATATACGGTGAAAGCATAGCAAAATCTTATTGCGCACATAATATGATGCATTGATTAATAAGACCAAGATACTCTGCCCTCTTCACTTCATTCTACACCAAGATACCTATTGAAAAGAAAAAAATTACAATGGTCAGCAAGCAAGCAAATCTGCAAGAGTACAATATATCTTCATGAAGAGAAACACAGTACTGAATCATGAGCTAGTTATGTTATCTAGGAAAGAAATGAGCAGAACCTAAAAGAAACTCAGACAATCTAAATGGCCCACAAAAAATAAGAGTGAATGACAAGCATTCTGCACTTAAGATCGCACACACACCAACCAGCACAAAAAAAGTAACGGGTAAATAACAATCTCACACTATTATCACTAGTGCACAGTTCTTCATAGAAGAAACAGTGCCTAATAAAGACCTACCCAAGAGTAGAGCAAGCCTCATGTAGAACAAGGCATAGAAAACTTTTGGTTTGCTCGAGCAGCTTGCACCACCAGATTAGCACTATAAATCTACCATGGATGGCCAACAATCTGCACTGAAGAACTAAGATGCACGCACGAGCCGGCAATTAAAAAAAATACTAGGCAAGCATGGTTTACTTGTTGAAGAAAACAGATCTACTCATGATTCGGTCGAACCCCTAGGATTTAATCATGTTTCCAAGTAAAACGCGCGATTCTACTACGGTGGATGCCCAGCAGTTCGGGCCTAAGATGCACGCACCTATGATGATCTTAGCCCAACAGCTTAGCTCAGCCGGATCTGCTGGAGCAGAAGGAGGACATAATTAAACCTACGGCGGATCACCGACAGCTCATGCTATGCGCGCAGCAGCGGATCTACTCGGTAAACTCTAGGAAACTGAAGTAGCCGGATCCAGACCAGGAAGAGAACGATGTATACCTCAGGTCGCTGGCGCACTTGCCCCGCGAGATCCGGCGCCTCCCCCCTCGCCCTTGGAGCGAGCACGCGCCTCTTCGGGCCGCTGCGCGCACTCACCGACGACCGGCGGCCGGCAGGACGTGCTCGCCCCGGGGGGAGGGGAGAGGCGGCCGGAGACCCCGCTTGGAGATCTAGTCTAGTCTAGTCCGCCTCTCTACTGGCTCGACTCTGCCCTCTCCAAGCGCGGCTCGGCCCGGTAGAAATAACCGCGGGGTGAGGGGTGCTCGTGAGCGGGCGCGACCGGCCATGTGCACGCGCGGAGACGCTGCCGTGTGGTCCTCCGCGCGGAATGGGCCCATCCGTCGGCCGGGTTGGGTCGGAGTGAGTGGTGGGAGTGGGGGAGGGCTCAGATCCGATCTGGGGGCATTGGATGCCGTCTGGACTGGTGGGTAAATTATGATGGATGGGCCGGGGCGGGCGGTGGTGGGCCACGAGCGCGCCTGCCTGCACGCGGTTTGGCGCTCGCGGGGAAGTTTCCCGGAACTTGCCGCGGTGCTCCCATGGTGCGGTGCCGTGCCGTGCGGGGAGGAGCGGTGTGCACGAGTTGTTTATTTGAGCAGGGGTTTGGCTCGAAAAGGGCAGTGAAACGTTGTCTGGTTTAATCCACAGTGTAAATTTCAGCTTGTAGCTGTATGACATCGCGCGCATTTTGTAACAACAACAAAAATAATTGCAGATCCAGACGAGGGACACCCATCACGTGGCCCTGCCCCCAGGCTGCCACAGACTCTTTAAACGAAACGAAACGCGACGCGCTCGCCACAGTACTACAGCAGGGCGAGTGATTCTACCGGGTGAATTTCCAGCCAGTCACGCACGCGCACTTTACTTCAGAGACGACCGCAAGTCGTCCACATTTTTTTTTTGCGAATACAAGTCGTCCACATTATTTCCACACACTTAATCTCGTCTCGATCTAACGCACGGTGCGTCGACACGTACACACAGGTGATAACACAGATTGCAACAGCTGGTATATGGAGGCGACGCAGCCGACTTGGCAATTCGGCTGATAGCATCACCCACTACAGGTAACTGGCCATTCACCCACTACTCTAACCAATAGTGTTGAGCCATCAGATCAGCTTGTAGCTGTATGGAACCAAGTAAATCGTGCAGCACACAGCAGGTTCAGTGCTGATCCACGTTTCGCTTTTCAGATTGACTACCAAATAATAAAGGGATGAGATATTCTAATTTGATCTCATTCACTTTGAAAACAAGAACAGATACAACCCACACCAGCACACACGCATCTTATAGCATCACATCCAATGGCTATAAAAGATGTGGACGACTACGAGGGCGTGCATCATCACACACCACTACGAGCAAAGCAAAGTTTCCGACCAACTTCGCGCGCATTTCGCTCTCTCTAAACAAAAAATGCACATCCAGGACGTGACACAGCGCCTGTCATTTTTGCCGTGTGTGCTTCGCTCTACTCACCCGTGGCCCAGGCTGCCTGCCACGCACGCTTTAAACCAAACGCCACGGTACTACAGGAGCATGGGCCAGTAAATTCTACCGACTGACGCGAATTTCCAGCCAAGGCACGCACTTCAGTTCAGAGACGACCGCAAGCCGTCCACATTATTTCCATACTTTGTCTCGTCTCAATCTAACACACACAGAGTCATCGACGCATACAGGTCCTCAACAAGCTGGTGTATATGGAGGCGATGCCTCTGACTTGGCAATTCAACTGGATTGCATCACTCACTACATGTGACTGGTCAGTCAGCCGCTCTTGAGGAACTGGGCGTGGTGCGCGATGTGGTCGTCGATGAAGGTGGCGATGAAGAAGAAGGAATGGTCGTACCCCGGCTGCATGCGCAGGGTCAGGGGAGCGCCCGCCGCCTTGCACGCCTCCTCAAAGTTGCCCGCCAGCAGCTGCTCCGCCAGGAACTTGTCGTCCTCTCCCTGTTCCAATCCACATGAAAAGGTAGGTATTGAATTTAAGCGATTGTGCCAACATTACTTCCTTTTCACTGTTATATGATTGGCAGCAAGAGAATTAAGTAAGAAAGGAAAATGTGGCGACCATAGGTAGCCCAGGTTGCAAACAAAGCGGGTTGTGAGATGATAAATGGCAGTGGCATGTTCTCAAATTCATATCCTTCTGAATCAACTTGTGTACTGTACAGGCAAACGGTTACCCTCTAGGGCCTTGTACTTTCAACTTGTTCAATCGAACCTATCATCATGTGTATAATCGATTCCTTGGTGCAGTTGTGTTGAACTGCCAAACTTCAGCTCTAGCCAGTTCAGTTGAACATGCATGATTATAACCTCACAACATCTCACTCCCTGACAGAAAAGGAATCCTACACTGATAGATAGATTTTAGATTCTCTTACTGAAACATGCAATGAACTCCTACCAGTGCTAGCCAATCTAGACGGAAGAGAGTATCACTTGATGAGGCAATCATATCAAAGCTAACCGATCATGCACAGCTAGCATACCAATCAAAATGGCTTCATGTCTTTCAGGCAAAACCTAATTTAAATTGGTCTATTCCCCAATGTATAGCTAAACGATCAATTCCCTATTGTCCACGAGGACGACTCCATGTTGTCACAAATGCCTTACAACAGATCCTTGTGTCACATCAAGTAAATGGCTGGTTTGAGAATGGAAGGAGGGAGGGAGGGCAATGATCTCAGGGAAGACTACAGCTCACTTATCCAACTACCTTGTATGCTTATGGAGATAACATGAAAACAGGAATTAGGCGTTATACATCGCACTGTTGCATTATACCTGGTCAACCAAGATAGGAGTTGAAAGCGTGCTGCACTTCTTAACCAACAGGGTTGCATCATATTCCTGCAGTTAGCATGCACTATTAAGTATTTTACATGCCTGGTTTGAGAATTGAAGAAGGGAGGGAGGGAAACGATTTCATAGAAGACTTACCTCCCATTCTGATTTAGTTGTACCCAGATAGTTTGAGAATGCTTTCTGACCCCAAGGGCAGTTTATTGGGTTAGCAATTGGAGCAAACGCAGACACTGACTGCATAGGTAAGACAAATTCGCAATGCCAAGTGAGATCTAATGGAAGTAATAACAAGAAAGTACAGATGTTATACAAAGTAGACACCTACAAGTTTCCTAATTTGAAAATTGTTTATAGGCATGAATTTCCAGAAGCAGAGAGTTTAACAAATAGCGTAAAATAGTACCTTGTATTTGTCAGTGTTCTTCAAGTAGATAGTCAGTGCGCCGTGACCTCCCATAGAGTGGCCAAAAATTGATGCACATGACGTGTTAAGCTGTTCAAAGTTGTCACTTAAAACTTTTGGCAGCTCCTTCACAACATAGTCGTACATGCGCCAGTTCTTCCACTTCTCATTTGTGGCATTCAAATAAAATCCAGCACCTACTCATGAATAGTCAAGATAGGAATGTAAGGCACCTCCAGCCACATGCACAGAAACATAAATCTTATCAACATGATACAATTCTTCACGTGGTACTGGCATATACGAACTCAACAAATGTAAACCAGCTGCACTTTCTAATGGACAAATTCACCAATTCATTATTAACTGATTATTTTAGAACTTGTGTAGGAGTACTTCACAATTCCATGAATAGCAATCTTATTAATGACCAAAGAATAACGTGTATGCAATCATTGCATCTTTAAGGTCAAACACATAGGTGAAAGATGAGGAAAAAAAACATGGCCACGTCATATTTCTTTTTGCCATATCTGTCAAATTCACATGGTATATGATGCTTGACTTAACAGGTTAACAAAGGCCAAAGCCCAACCATGTTATAAGATCCTACATTGATGAAGAAAAATCTAAACCACTAGATTTATATCTGCTGTATTTTGCATAATTAGGAATATGGACATATGGGCTGGTGGCACACTGATGGTTGAGAACTTGAGATAAAGCGTGCCATAGTAGCCGCTAGGGCAATCAGATTGCTTTCTGGCTGAGCTTTGACCAAATAGATATACAGCAATGTAATAATGAGAAGGACTATTCTTAGTTGGATGTGTTGATTAAATATTTATTGTCTCAGCAACTCCACAAGAGGTCCCATCTATTAAAAGAACGCATTAGCAGTAACCATGTGCTTATGTTTTCAACAAAACAAAAAATTATAAATATTTGCTCCATAACCAACACGATACAAACAAAGCAGCATAAATTTAATACAAAAAACAGCAAAGAGTACAGGGAATGGAAGGTTCTCAACGATCATGCAAAATATTAATATTCCATTTCTTTATGGCAATGAGAGGTGCATGCAGTTAGTTGTGGACTGTCATGTTAGTTGACAAGTCATATATCGTATAAAAAGCAAATGGCACAACAAGATTGTCTTAGTTACAGTCCTTACCAACACCAAAATCCCAACTATCTGCCTCTCCTTCTACATTTAGTCCACCTGCATGAAACAAATGAAAAGAGTGATGAGAAAAGGAAAAGGTTTAAATAAGGATCAAGAATCATATGATGTGCTATCAACAAAAGAAAAGGTAATAAGAAGCAATAGAGATGAGATCACACTGAACCCACCACAAGTTATCTGGTAGTCAAAGCAAACAAAATACTCTCTTAGTTAGTAGAATATCAGGAACATGCCGTTGATCAACCTAGAATGCCCTTAAAATTATTCAGACTCAACTCTACACCATCTTTAGGCTGAACAGATCTGTCCTATTACTCGACAAGGTAAAAAAAAATGAAGTGTAACATAGAGTTCATACATGCCCCAGACAAGAAGCAGATTGTGTTTTATTGGCCTCATTTGGTTATAGTGCCATACTCCAGTCCTAACAATCCTGAACCGAACAGCTAAAATGCAAGTGATTGTGCGTCAGGTAGGTGCCAAATTTCGACGGTTAATCTTCTTTCTTCAGCTCCATACACCAGCAGCACTGTTGTGGAGAATTAGATTACTGATGAGGGTGGCTTGTTAAATCAACTAAAGTACCAGATAGCAACATGGCAATGGACCACATTTCCCATGCCAATATCTACCATACTGCATGGAACTTGACCTACTCCTGGTATTTGAAATTGATGATGTTGGATCAGTTAACACTTCTACTCAGTACTCCTAACAGACACTGCAGAAAGATGATCTACTACATGGAGACTTGAGGCAATTATCACTGACAGCAGCAAACACCTTTGGATAAAATAATCCATGGATGTGTAAAATGGAAAAATACAAAAAATAAACTGGGATGATTCTTATTATATGAGTGGGGTAATATTCACGAGCATCACCTTTACAGGTGCATAAGTTTAACAGATCCACTTGTGTGATATAGAAATCTCTCATCAGTTTTAGCATCACATATGAGTATATGACTGCATGTTATGCCTTGAAGAAACTGAGTTCATCAAACAGTCGTCAATGGTAGCTATAGCAAAAGAATATTACAATAACTGTGCACTGCCACCATTGGCATGATGTAATTACAACATTAGTGACTATAGTTACACAATTCATCGTCCCTGTGCTGTACAACACAAACATGAGTGCATCCATATGCACACACATAACACAATCCTTGAACCTGCCATACGTCCAAGTGTTCTATCGAGGGTAACTCCGACCTGATGCACAGAATGAGGCATCAGTGGTCCTTTTTTCTAAAAAACTAAGCGTAATATTTCAATTGAGATTTAACGCGCATAATTTTCCGCTCACACTTTCCTGAGTGATATAAGTAAATTTGACTAAACCAAAAGGACAGTGAAAACATTAGCAGTGAGCCCGTGACAAACTGCGGAAAAATTGGATCATTTGCCACACTTTACTTCCCCATTTGATAATTTGTCAGGCATATGAGCACATCCTACGGTTCCTCTCCGGTGGCATCCCAATTCCCAAATCTAAAATGCATAAACTACCAAAACTTCACCCAAAAAAAAATGAACCTTACGGTGTTTTCGCCCACACTCCCCCCAAAATTTATTATTCCCCTCAGAATTGGATGGTACGCCGCCGAGGGACAGACACGCATAAACCCTAGAAATTGAACGCGGCGAGAGAGGGGGGTTAAGGTTAAACGTACGCGGGGAGGTGTCGGGGGCGACGAGGGCGACGCCGTGGGCCGCGGCGGCGCGCTGGGCGCCGGACTTGATGATGAAGTTCTCGTCGGTGCAGGTGAGGCCGGAGAGCCAGTACAGCACCTGCGCACACACGAAGACAACGCCGTCAGACTTCTAGGACGGGGAGTGGGGTACCGGGGCGAGCGGGGTAGGGCACGCACGGGGAGCTTGGAGGCCGGCGACGCGGGGAGGAAGAGGGAGAAGGTCATGGGGCAGCCGAGGGCGGCGCTCTGGTGGCGGAAGCGGAGGTTGTGGCCGCCGAACATCTTGGTCTTGCTCAGCTGCTCCAGCGCCGCCGCGGGAGGGGAAGCGGCCGCCGCCATCGCGCGATCGCCGGCGGGGTGTGGGGGAGCGGTGGTGGGTGGAGACTGGACTGGAGATCGGGGAGTGTAGATTCTAGAAGGGGATGGAACCCAATCCAAACTCCAATGGTCACCCGGTGGCCTCTTTTCAGTGGGACCTCCTCCTATCTGTCGCTCCGTTGGTATTTTCGTTTTTTTCTGTTTTTCCTTGTTTTTTTGGGTCCCAAAAAAAGAAAAATAATTACTTTAAAACCATTAGAAACCATTTTTAAAAAGGGAACCATTTTTAAAACTCGTATGAACATTTTTTTGAAATACAACATTAAAACAATTTTTTTTCAGAACTTTTGTGGACATTTGCTAATATTTGACTTAAAAAATTTCTATTTTCTAAAATAAAAAATTATATAAAAAAATTAGTTTTCTAAAATTGTAAAAAATTTCCAACATTTAAAAAAACAACAAAGATAAAAGACAACAGGGTATATATATATAATGGAAGAAAAACAAATAAAAATAAAATAGCAAAAAGTTTACAAAATTGGATTTTATATAAACATAATTGTGGCAACTCATTCATAATCACTCTGTACAAAAGATTTACACAATTTTAACAAAACGACAAATAGAAATTGTATTTTAAAGTACCATTGCACTGCTCATTTGTTTAACCCTTAAAGTTTTAAATATTGGGCATGCCTTATGCCTCGTTTTTAAACTATCGATGAATCATCGTTTGTCCGATGTGTTTTAAGTGTTTAAGAGATTGTTTTAACTGTGACATTTAGTACAATTTCTTTACGATGTAAGTTTTGATATTATTGTAGACATTTATACTAATGATGAGTGAAATAATAACAGCCGCACATTTATACTAATTTTCATTACTTATATTCAGTTCGCAATTTTAATCATGTTTCTCTAATAATACAACTTCCAAATATTATTTCAATAGAAAACTCTTGTGGTCAAACTCCATTCATTGTCAAAATATTTTATGACATTTTGCTAAAACTAAACATTGTTTAAATATAATTAAGGTAGGAAGCACATGAGAAAATCACATTTATCATGTATATAGTGTATTCATGTCTATTTTCACTATTATAAATATCACGATAGCTTTTTTCTTACAATGTAATATAAGCTTAATAAATATCCTAATAGAAGTTTCTAGAGTACCATTGTCAAAATAATGAAAAATTAAAGAGTGTGTTGTGGTGAAACACCAGAATAAAATGACTCTCTAAAACTTCTGAGACATCTCCTGAGAAACAATTTCCTTAGAACCATATAGCCAGGCTTAAAGTGATCAATTGATCATTCCAAAAGGATCCCAAGGTGATGATCGGGACAGGATCAATGGCCCGCAGTTGTTCCAGCCCGTCGGGCTGAGGGACGTTGTCGAACCATGAGGCCAAGCAGTCGAGTTGGGTTGACCGGTTCCCTAGGCTTGTGTAAAACATGAGGGTTATTCCCAAACAAGTAAATAATGTCAATTGCCGAAAAGGGGATAATAGTGAACTTACCACCAGCACCAGCTTGAAAGGCGAAAAATCTGAGGTCTCATGGCTCGTGATGAGTCTCTTTAGTGATCCGGTAACAGATAGCAGAAACGATTCTCGTCTTTTTCACAGGGGTGACTCTGAGTTATCGAACCCACGAGAGGGCGTGCACTTATGACAAGGGTTTCTACAAGCTTTTGCAGGAGTATTAAATTTCAGTTTTTTGACTGGATTGTAGTCACTTTGTTCCTAACACTTATAATAAAAGTAGACATGAGTATGAGACTGTATTCTTACAACCATATACTCCATCCGTTTTTATTTACTCTGCATATTAGAGTTGACTGAAGTCAAACTTCGTAAAGTTTGAACAAATTTATAGAAAACAATATAGACATTTATCATTATAAAACTATACGATGTGAAAGTACATTCAATAATAAATCTAATGTTGTTGATTTGTTATTGTATATCTTAATATTTTTGTTTATAAACTTGATCAAAATTTGTAAAGCTTGACTTTGACCAAATCTAATATGCGAACTAAATAAAAACGGAGGGAGTACTTATTGATCGTCGGGATCATTGTGATATTTAATTTGTGCTCTCGAAGACACCCGTTAAAATGTGCTTGCAACATATCGAAGTGAGGGATGTGTCAAAGTATGTCTTCGCTAGAACACACCCTGCATCAAAAATCAGTTATCCAACTGTAGGCCCTATCCGCCGTGTCCTTGTTGGCAACACACACTATCATCGGAGCAGCGTCTTGGATCGTGCACGTGTGTACTACGATAGTATCAAAGCTACGGGTACTGTTGGAGTCGGCCAACAAAAGCATGACTTGGTTGCCCACCAGTGCATGCAACCTCGTGTTGCTTTTGTGGCCTCTGTGCCCATGACAACGTGTACTGAGATGTGATAGCACGTTGTCGCCTCCTCTGGATTTTCATCAAGCAGCTCAAGGGCGTGCGTGGCATCGTCAGACAAGAACTTGCCATGATATCCCACTTCCGTGGTGAGGAGCTAGCCAGTGTGATCTTGCGGCTGTACTTGTCACTGTACTTGAAGCATAAGCCTTTGGAGCACCTGATTTCTCGTAGCTTCCAATTGCGAACAAATTTGTGTGACCCGCGCTTCGCACCGTCGGGGCCTGTTCGGATCGGAGGGCTCATGTGCGTCCCTGCATGCATCTTTTGGTAGCTTCTTTCCTCCTACTGTGCCGGCCCGCCCGAAAAAATGGGATATCGCTGGATGTTTGTTTTCCCGTGAAAATGCACGTGACAGAAACTTTCCGGAGGATCGGTAAAGATGGATTCCTTCGTCCCAAACACACAAAAGACAACAGTTTCATAGGAAACGCTTTCCTTTGCGTTTCCAATGCTTTTCCTTCGTTTTGAACAGGCCCTTAGTGTGCGGTTGCTATCCTTTTATCAAACTTATGCTTCAAAGTAGCACCATGATATTCATGATAGAGAGTCTTCTATGTTGTCACTTTCATATACTAGTGGCAATTTTACATTATAGAACTTGGCTTGTATATTTCAATGATGGGCTTCCTCAAATTGCCCCAGGTCTTTGCGAGCAAGCAAGTTGGATGCACACCCACTTAGTTTCTTTTGTTGAGCTTTCATACACTTATAGCTCTAGTGCATCTGTTCAATGACAACGTGTACTGAGATGTGATAGCACGATGTCGCCTCCTCTGGATTTTCATCAAGCAGCTCAAGGGCGTGCGTGGCATCGTCAGACAAGAACTTGCCATGATATCCCACTTCTGTGGTGAGGAGCTAGCCAGTGTGATCTTGCGGCTGTACTTGTCACTGTACTTGAAGCATAAGCCTTTGGAGCACCTGATTTCTCGTAGCTTCCAATTGCGAACAAATTTGTGTGACCCGCGCTTCGCACCGTCGGGGCCTGTTCGGATCGGAGGGCTCATGTGCGTCCCTGCATGCATCTTTTGGTACCTTCTTTCCTCCTACTGTGCCGGCCCGCCCGAAAAAATGGGATATCGTTGGATGTTTGTTTTCCCGTGAAAATGCACGTAACAGAAACTTTCTGGAGGATCGGTAAAGATGGATTCCTTCGTCCCAAACACACAAAAGGCAACAGTTTCATAGGAAACGCTTTCCTTTGCGTTTCCAATGCTTTTCCTTCGTTTTGAACAGGCCCTTAGTGTGCGGTTGCTATCCTTTTATCAAACTTGTGCTTCAAAGTAGCACCATGATATTCATGATAGAGAGTCTTCTATGTTGTCACTTTCATATACTAGTGGGAATTTTACATTATAGAACTTGACTTGTATATTTCAATGATGGGCTTCCTCAAATTGCCCTAGGTCTTTGCGAGCAAGCAAGTTGGATGCACACCCACTTAGTTTCTTTTGTTGAGCTTTCATACACTTATAGCTCTAGTGCATTTGTTGCATGGCAATTCCTACTCACTCATATTGATATATATTAATGGGTATCTCCATAGCCCATTGATACACTAGTTGATGTGAGACTACCTTCTTCTTTTTTGTCTTCTCCACAACCACGCCATTCTATTCCACATATAGTGCTATGTACATGGCTCACGCTCATGTATTGCGTGAAAGTTGAAAAAGTTTGAGAATACTAAAGTATGAAACAATTGCTTGGCTTGTCATCAGGGTTGTGTATGATTAAATACTTTGTGTGATGAAGATAGAGCATAGCCAGACTATATGATTTTGTAGGAATAGCTTTCTTTAGCCATGTTATTTTGAGAAGACATGATTGCTTTGTTAATATGCTTGAAGTATTACTTTTTTATGTCAATATGAACTTTTATCTTGAATCATTTGGATCTGAAAATTCATGCCACAATAAAAAGAATTACATTGAGAAATATGCTAGGTAGCATTCCACATCAAAAATTTTATTTTTATCATTTACCTACTCGAGGACGAGCATGAATTAAGCTTGGGTATGCTTGATACGTCTCCAACGTATCTATATTTTTTTATTATTCCATGCTATTATATTACCCGTTTTGGATGTTTATGGGCTTTACTATACACTTTTATATCATTTTTGGGACTAACCTACTAACCGGAGGCCTAGCCCAAATTGTTGTTTTTTTGCCTATTTAAGTGTTCCGAAAAAAAGAAATATCAAACGGAGTCCAAACGGACTGAAACCTTCGGAAGCGATCTTTTTGGAACAAATGCAATCCAGGAGACTTGGAGTGGACGTCAAGAAGCAGCCTCCGGTTAGATGATGAAGTTCTCATCGGTGCAGGTGAGGCCGGAGAGCCAGTAGAGCACCTGCACCACACCCACGAAAGCGCCGTCTGATCTCCAGGCCAGGGACGGGGAGTACGGTCCCGGGGCGAGCGGGGAAGGGCACGCACGGGGAGCTTGGAGGCCGGCGACGCGGGGAGGAAGATGGAGAAGGTCATGGGGCAGCCGAGGGTGGCGCTCTGGTGGCGAAAGCAGAGGTTCTGGCCGTCGAACATCTTGGTCTTGCTCAGCTGCTCCAGCGCCGTCGCGGGAGGGGGAGCGGCCGCCGCCATCGCGCGATCGCCGGCGGGGTGTGGGGGAGTGGTGGTGGGTGGAGACTGGACTGGAGATAGGAGAGTGTAGATTCTAGAAGGGGATGGATCCCAATCCAAACTCCATGGTCATAGTCACCCGGTGGCCTCTTTTAAGTGGGACCTCCTCCTATCTGTCGCTCCGTTGGTATTTTTGGTATTTTTCTATTTTTCCTTGGTTTTTTTATCTTTTGGGTCCAATAAAAACAAAAATAATTACTAACATTAGAAATCATTTTGAAAAAAGGGAACCATTTTTAAAACTCGTATGAACATTTTTTGAAAATATAACATTAACAAAAATGTTTTTCAGAACTTTTGTAGACATTTTTTAATATTTGATTTTTAATTTTTTTGTTTTTTAAAATAAAAAATTCAAGTGTTGAAAATTGTAAATTTTTTTACCAACATTGTTGAAAAAAAAGATAAAAGACAAAAGGGTAAAAACATATATAAATAAAATAATGGAAGAAAAAAAAATAAAAAAATAGTAAATTGTTAACAAAACTGGATTTTATATAAACATAATTGTGGCAAATCATTCATAGTCACTTTGTATAAAAGATTTACACAATTTTAACAAAACAAGACATAGAAATTGTCTTTTTAAGTAATATTGCACTGCTTATTTGTTTAACCTTTAAGTTTTAAATGTTGGGCAGGCCTTACGCCCCGATTTTAAACCTTCGACGAATCATTGTTTGTCTAATGTGTTTTAAGTGTCTAAGAGATTGTTATAAGTGTGACATTTAGCACAATTTCTTTACGATATAAATTTCGCGATTATTGTAAAAATAATAATTTATCGACACATGATGAGTGAAATAATAACAGACGCACATTTATACTAATTTTCTTACTTATATTCAGGTCGCAATTTTAATTGTGTTTCTCAAATAATACAACTTCCAAATATTAATTGAATAGAAAAAACACTTGTGGTCAAACTCCATTTATTGTCAAAATATTTTATGACATTTTGCTAAAACTAAACATTGTTTAAATATAATTAAGGTAGGAAGTAGATGAGAAAAGCACATTTATCCATCATATAATTGTTGATTAATTAGATGTATATAGTGTATTCGTGTCTATTTTCACTATTATAAATATCAAGATAGCTTTTTCTTACAATGTAATATAAGCTTAATAAATATCCTAATAGAAGTTTCTAGAGTACCATTGTCAAAATAATGAAAAATTAAAGAGTGTGTTGTGGTGAAACACGAGAATAAAATGACTCTCTAAAACTTCCGAGACATCTCCCGGGAAACAAATTCCTTAGAACCATATAGCCACGCTTGAAGTGATCAATTGATCATTCCAAAAGGATCCCAAGGTGATGATCGGGACAGGATCAATGGCCCGCAGTTGTTCCCGCCCATCAGGCTTGAGGGACGTTGTCGGACCATGAGGCCAGGAAGTCGAGTTGGGTTGACCGGTTTCCCCAGGCTTGTGTAAAACATGAGGGTTATCCCCAAACAAGTAAATAATGTCAATTGCCGAAAATTGAAGAATAGTGAACTTACCACCAGCACCGGCTTGAAAGGCGGAAAATCTGAGGTCTCATGGCTTGTGATGAGTCTCTTTAGTGATCCGGTAACAAATAGCAGAAAGTATTCTTGTCTTTTTCACAGGGGTGAGTCTGAGTTATCGAACCCACGAGAGGACATGCACTTATGACAAGGGTTTCTACACGCTTTTGCAGGAGTATTAAATTTCAGTTTTTAGTCTGGATTGTAATCACTTCGTTCCTAACACTTATAATAAAAGTAGACATGAGTATGAGACTGTATTCTTACAACCATATACTTGTCGATCGGGATCATTGTGATATTTACTTTTTGCTCCGGAAGACACCCGTTAAAATGTGCTTGCAACATATCGAAGTGAGAGATGTGTCAAAGTACGTTTTCACCAAAACACACCATGCATCAAGAGTCAGTTGTCCAACTGTTGGCCCTATCCGCCGTGTCCCTGTTAGCAACACACACTGTCATCGGAGCGACGTCCTGGATTGTGAACGTGTGTAATGCGATACAGAGTTCTAAAGTTGTGGGTGTTGTTGGAGTTGGCCAACAAAAGCATGACTTGGTTGCCCACCAGTGCATGCAACCTCATGTTATTTGTGGCATATGTAGCCATGACAGCGTGTACCGAGATGTGATAGCATGATGCCGCCTCCTCTGAATTTTCATCAAGCAGCTCGAGGGCGTGCATGGCATCATCAGACAATAACTTGCCATGATCACCCACTTCAATGGTGAGGAGCTGGCCGGTGTGATTGCCCTTGTGCTTGCGGCTGTACAAAATCGTGTGACCCGTGCTTCGCACTGTCAGTGTGTAGTTGCATTGGTCCTGCGGCGACCATGGCCCATGGGCGCCGGTGCCGGTGGTAGCACCCTCACGAACATCGGAGGGCGTCCTCGCAGACGGTTGTGCTCCGACTCCTCTTCCTATATGTGTTCGAGAGTTGCCTCTGACGACACGTTTGTTGGTGCATGCTGACAAACATGTGTGTGCACCTCGTCGCGCAAACCGATGATGAGCTAGGAGACGAAGAACTTCTGATTCATAGTAGGGTCCAGAGCGATCAAATGATGCATGATTGTTTCGAACGCCATGTGGTAGCCGGCAACAATGCCCAATTTGTCGAGGTGATGTAGGCGCGCGGTGAAGCAGTTTGTCGAACTCGTCCTGCCCAAGCTCGGCGTGCACCGCCGCGGTGAAAGTGGACCAATCGCCGATGCCAGATAAGAGCATCTACAGCTGGACATAGCAAATATGACCCATAAACATTTGCGGACAAATATTAAAATAAAAAATAATATTTGAATTTTCAATAAAGTTTTACAATGCGAACATTTTTTAAAACTCTAAACAAAATGTAAAAACCCGAATGATTTTTGAAAACATGAACTGTTCTTTTCAAATGCAATCAATTTTTAAAAATTTCATAACATGTTTTCAAAAGAAATAATATTTTTTAAGTTTGTGATTTTTTGAAATGATTTATCAAATTCTCGATCATTTTTGTAAAACGTGAAACAAACTTTGAAAGTCAGAAATTGAAAACCTGATTTTTTTGAACCCGAACAATTTTCAGTTCTTTTGGGAACCTGCTGGTGAAAATCAGGTGGGAACCTTCTAGAAAGAATGAAAACCGGAACTGCGTAGCTACACGAAGAGCGGGAGATGGGCGGCCCAATTGATCGTGCCCCGGTGAGATTGGTCAACCCATCGACGCAGAGAGCGTCAAATAAGGTTTCCTCCACTAGGCCTCCTCTTCGGCACCTTAAGGGCCACTTGGCGAACCAACGTTCAGGCGCCGGTTTTCCCTGGTTCTTTGGTTACTCAATTCTAAGTTGACCGTTTCTCACTGAATTTTTGAGAAAAATGCGAAAATTACAAAAAAGTGTTCACGAATTTGAGAAAAATTCACGAATTCAGAGAAGTCCATGAGTTTGAAAAAGGTCACAAGTTCAATTTTCTTTTGCAGGATTCAAAAAGTTAAGTTCACAAACTCAAAGGAATTCAGGAGTTCAAAAAGGGTTCACACATTCAAAAAGAGTTCATACATTTTAAAAAGTTCACGAAAATTGAAAAGGGTACACATGTCTCACAGATTTGAAAAAAAGATCACGATTTGAGTAAAAAAATTCAAAAATTTGTATAAAAGTATTAGTCTTTTTTTTGTTAAAAAATCAAAACAGTTCACAAATTTGAAAAAAATGAAATCGCGACTTAACAGAAAAAAAGTTCAAAAATATACTAGAAAAAGTTTAAAAATTTGAAAACAAATCATGCATTAGGAAAACGAAAATTAACAATAAAACAAAACTAAAAAGGGGGAAAACAGAATAAAATCCTGCTAAAAACAAAAAAAAGTCTAAAGCTTCTAGATGCTTTCCGAAATCGGCCGCAAGCTTCTAGGGGTTCACAAAACTGGTTGGGTCGCTTAAAAAAAAGAAACATCGTGTTTGCGAATGTGCGGTTGATGAAGGGAAAAAATAAAAGGGGTCGAGCCCAAGTGGAGGAGAGGGTGTCTAGTAAGAATTATGCATATAAGAATTGTCTGAAATCAAATTTTGTAAAGTCGGACCATTTTCATGTAAAAATATCAATATCTATAGTATTAAAGTTATTATATAATATGAAAATTAAATTCATGACACATTTAATGATATTAATTTTGTATTATGAATGTTGATATATATTTTTCTATAAAGTCGGTCAAACTTTGTGAATTTTAACTTCAAACAAATCTGATATGCGGAGTAGTAGGACCGGTGGGAGTATCGTTGTACATGCCCTAAGTTGTTGTAAAATGTTATAAGTTCCCCGAATTTGTAGCTCCGTATAATGAACTCCACGTTGTTGTTTTATTGTATTGGTGTGCTTAAAATATTGCTATGTTTTTTTTAATGTTTTGTGATGATGTTACAATTGCAAACATAAAAAAAAGGTGGGCCCTCCAGATCTCACGTTTAAGGATCACTTCTTTTAGGTGGCTTAACAAATAAGCTGCCTCTCTCTAGCATAAAAATAAGCTAATCGAAAAAAAATTTAAAGCTTCTAAATTAGTTATCCTATAACTACTTCATCTGTTTCTAAATATTTGTCTTTTTAGAGATTTCAATAAGTGAGTACATACGGAGCAAAATGAGTGAATCTACACTCTAAAATATGTCTATATACATCCGTATGTGATAGTTCATTTGAAATCTTTAAAAGACAAACATTTAGGAACGGAGTGAGTAGTTTAGAAGGCTCAATAAATTACGGGGATGGCTTATGGGAAAAGCAGTGAGGAGGCGGCTTAAAATAAGCCGCCACTGTGGAGGAAGCTGCTAATCGGAACCAATCGCCGGCCGGCCGCCAACGGCTAGCACCGGCCTGACTTTCCTCCTCCACAGCCCCCTCTAGACTCCAGCACCGCCCGGCCTCCGCCTCTGTCGGGAAGAGATCCGCACGACCACGCCCCTCCTCCACCACCCATGTCCGAACCACCGGTGGCCGGTCTCCCGCTCGTATCCCTGTCTCCATGCCGCGGAGCACGCCTTATCCCGTCCCCGTCGGTTCCCCTCGGCGGGCCGCCGCCGTCCTCCGGAACCTGACCCAGCGCGGCACCGCCAGCTTCCGGAGGTGACTGGCTTCTCCAGACCATCTGGGTACGTGATTGGCTTCTCTAGGCCATCGATCTGGCGATTACTTACTTGGCTCTTGTTACAAATCGGGGCTGGGCTATCCAATTGTCTACGCAGACTGTGGACTGTGCCTCTGTTTTTGGGATTGTTTTGTTAGGCACAGTTCGTCAACATAGGCAGGTTTGGCTTCTGCAGAGGAAAGTAATACTAGAAACCACCGAGAGTATGAGACACTGATGGTTAGTAGCACTAATGACCAGGGCACATAACTAGAACAGCAGAACTTCTCAACAAGTGGTTCTGGAAGAGCATTATTTGATTTGACTCTTCAGCGATTCGCGCTGCATAAAGATTAGAGAGCAGGTGGGTGGGGGGAGGGGGCACAACACCATATATCATTCATCTTGAGTTGCTGGCACCACACCACACACATTTTGTTGATTTTGGCCACATGAATCAACGTTTGCTATATGAAGAAAGTAATTCAAGCCACTTACTCTCCGTTTGCAGAGAAGTTTCCCTCATGTGGCTACCTGCTAGGCATGGATGCAAGGCTCTCCAAACCAGAACAAGTAATAAAATAGCACATCACATAAGTACTATTTATTTCAGTAGGTACCATTACAGGCATGTATAACTCTCAACACTGTACCCAATCAATGCATGTCACAACGCACATTAATTCACACTAGAAAACCATGATTATCACATGGTCCATATGAAAGCACAGAAATCCCACACACAAATGACAAATCCAACTTGTGAGCACAAGCACACCACTCAATGCAAAATAAATAATCACACACGCGCAAACACCCAGGCTCACTTGCATAACAAATGACAGCACACACATACACTCGGACAAACCAGCAGCAGAATCAATTAGTAGCACACAACCAGGACAAATAACCGCATGCTGATATAGTCTCTACTCTCTACTGCAGAGCAGGAGCGTTGCTGGCGGTAGCAGTAGCATTGGCCTCAATGATTTCCAGGATAGGATGATTTGGATGTGCTTCCATGTTGATGTCATCCATGTTGCAATTGCCGTTGATCTTAACCATTTGTAGTCTTAGGAGGTGTTCCAATCCACATAGCTTTACCATGCTGGTGGGCGTCCAAACCATCTTCTCGAGCTGACTGGCTGCATACTGTTCAAATGTGATGTCGGAGATTATTGTGCCCTCGATGATAAGAAACTCAAGTCTTTTGAATTCTTTCTCCTTGAAAGTAAGCTTCTTTGGAGTATATGACTCATGGCGGAGCCTGATGTAGCGCAGGTTCACAAGTTTACCTAAGAACTGTATATCACTCTCTGTCAAGGAGGTACGGCATAACGTTATCTTGGAAAGCTGAGGAAGCTCTTCAATCCATCTAGGCAGTTCGCTGATGTTGCCACTGATGCTAAGTCTTTCAAGAGACTTGGGAGGCGAGATTGTTATGCCCTTCGTGTTCATGTCAGCATCCTTGCCACCGGCCTCAATATGGACTGACAAAGAGTATAGGCATTCAAGCTTCCAGATTACTCTAAGCAAAATACTGAGCAGCCTGTCGCTGTTGCCATGGATAACTAGACCCAGTTTCCTCAACCGCTGCAGCTGGCCAACATGCTGCAGCTCATCTGCACTCTCGGAAACTGCAACATGGGATAGTATCTCCATGTTTGTCATGCTCCCAATCCCAGGAGGCATATGGATGGTGGAATATGATTCAGTAGATCCAGTGTCATTGTTAGATGGACGGTAAATGTCACCAGCAAGCAGATGCACTAGCTTTGGTGGCAGAGTTGCTTTTGCAGGGAACGATTTTATCTTGGTTTCCCTGATGTCAAGTGTCTCCAAGTCTTGGAGCTTGCTGATCTCCTTGGGCAGCTCGGTGATGCTTGTCTTCCTTGCACTCAGATACTTGAGCTGAAATATCTTGTTACATATGTTCTTGAGGTTGCGGTTCTTCAGTCCAGTGCAGTCTTCCAGGTCAAGCACTTTGATCAATCCCAACCGAGGAGATTCATGCAGTACGTTGAGAAACGTGACCATGTCATCCAATGGACCTTGAGAATCTTCTGAACGTCTGGAGCGAGAAGACCCGTGGAATCTCCAGCAGGCATTGGAACGTGTGCCCTGTTGCTTCTTGGAGAGTTCTAGAACTTGAATTCCGTTGCGAATGGAGAGACGGCGAGACAAGGCTAGCGGCAGAAGTGTGTTGCCAATATTGTCCTCACGGGCCATCTCGGCAATGAAGGAGAGGACATGATGATGCACTGTACAGCTCTTGACTTTGTCTGCAGGATCAATGCGGCAAGGAAGAAGAAGTCCTCGGTCAAGTAGTGCACTGAAAGCACGGTCACCTTCATCCATTGCACTGAGGTCGTACCTTTTGGTGATGATGTTTTCAGCTGCCCATCTTCTGACTAAGCTTGTCCTTCTGATCTTGGAACCTAGGGGGAAAATTGATAGGTATAGCAAGCACGCCTTGTACTGACTGGGGAGGTCATCATAGCATAACCTTATGATGTTCCGGGCATTAGGGACTGTGTTAAACTCTCTTATGCTATCCAGCAGTGTCTCCAACTCGGCCTTGCTTCTGTGAGGATTAGCATACAGAGCCTGAAGGACCATCTTGGTGGAAAAGGCATCCCAGCGACATTTCTTGAGGATTTGCTTGACGATGGCATGTACTTCATCTTTTCTAGGGTGGCTACCGACTAGCAATTCATTGGCTTTCTTGTTTAGAGCATCAAGGTGAGAATAGAAGTGCACTTTATAGTGAGTGGCTCTTCCCAAGAAAAACCAGCTGGCTGCGTACCACACATGCAATTGAACTGGGTGCTGCATTGAGGGAGTTACTATGATAGCACTGTCTTCAGAGTAGTCAGTGGGCAGAGCATCTGTTAGCGTTATGTCTTCCCATGGTGTGAGATCATCATGATCAGCCAGAACAATTAAGAACTTTTTACCTTTCAGGTGTTCCTGAATCTTTTTCTTGAGCTCCTTCTCATCGTCGACTTGTGCTGCCTCACCAGATGAGGGGTGCACCAGTTGTTGGAGTATGCACTGAAGCCTCTGCTTGCGCTGCGCGTGGAGCCTTGCGTCGACCCAAGCCATGCATTCGAAATGTTTGGCCTTCTTGGCGTTGTCGTACACTCTCCTTACAAGCTCCGTCGCAGGCTTGTGTGTACGCAGCTGGTCCTCCTCTGGGTTGAGGATATCCACTGGTGGTGTTACAACAACGAGGAGTCTAGGCAGCCGTCCTCGATCGCCGCCAAGTGCTGCTGCTAGTTTCCGGAACACGCCTTTGCCGGCTAGTTCATGAATGATGCCATTGCAGAGTATTCGTGTCAGCCACAGAGAGACCTGTGTTGTGTACAATGCCTCTGCTTCTATCATTTCCTTCATGTCAGTTCATGTCATGGCAAGCATGAAGTGGTTAGCAATTTCTGGCTCTTTCCCGCTCTTTCCATCTTCTTGAGGGGTGCTTCCTTCTGGTTTTGCTGCTGGTTTTTTTCCTTTCTTTTCATCTTGTCGAGATTTGTGGCCAAGGGCTAATTGTCCCAGCACCTTTTTCACCACACTGCCAACCATACGAATCTCGTGTTTCGTCATATCTATGCCTGCTTTGGTCAAGACGGCAGCAGCATCAGCTATGTTCTCTGGGTTTTCATCACCAACTATCCCCCTAAACATCCTGTGATACTCTGGCAGCAGGTCATCCATCTTGGACGTGGAGGCGTACATGTTCTTGAAGAATTTAGGGACATGCTGATAGACTGGCGGAGTATGGTCATGGCGTTCACTTCTGATGAGCCAAGCCATGAGCTCTCGCGCGTCGTTGTTCAACAAGTCATCAACATCAGCTAAAACACGGCGCCTCCGTGCATCCTCCGCATCCCCCAGCTTGGTCTTGGTGGCGCCATCTCCCGCTCCATTGGCGCCTGTACTGCTCTGCATCGGAGCTTTGACGCCATACCTCTGCCGCCGCTCCCCCACCTCGCGCGCCCGGCCCTTGAGCTCCCGGATCTGCTTGGCAATGCGGTAGCGATCCGGCATGGTCTTTACCAGCTTCGGCACCTGCTGGAGCGAGCCCAGGAGGCCCGCCGAGGGACGGCTGGCACCCAAGGTCTGCACGTAGCGGTCGATGCAGTTCTGGGAGTCGCAGGCGACCTCCCGGACCTGCTTTGTCCACGCCCGGACCTGGTGCCCGCCACCGGCAACGTCCAGGAGGAAGCCGTTCATGCTCTCCGTCTCATCCTTGATGAACTGCACGTCACCCTTCACTCCCTTCAGCAGCTGTGCCTCGTCGAGGAGCATCGACGAGAGGCGGCCCAACAGCGACTCGACGGCGCTCTCGGCAGTTGCCGCCATCACTATTTTTTGTTTGGATTGACAGTTGGAAAAAAAAGTATGAACTGGATCAGCTAGCAATGCAAATGCTGTGGTCGGCTGGCACAGCGAGGAACTAAATGCAGACAAGAGGAAGCAAAGGGAAACCAGCTGGACGGAATTCAATTCCAAACTTGCCAAGTACGTATTGTCCATACTAGCCTATTACTTTTGCATTCTACTCCCTCCGTTCCTAAATATAAGTCTTTTTTAGATATCCCATTACAAACTACATACGGATGTATCAATAGACATATTTTAGAGTGTAGATTCATTCATTTTGCTCCGTATGTAGTTTATAGTGAAATCTCTTAAAAGACTTATATTTAGGAACGGAGGGAGTAGCTGTCTAGCTGAAAATTGCTATATAGATGCGGATGTCTACCTAATGTTATATAGATAGTCTGCTTTTTCCTGTAATTACTTGGTACTTATTTTAGACTCCGTCTTTTTTAAGTATTTTTGCATGACTACATAAAGCACCTAACCGAAGTGTACTATAGTCATTCTTGTTGATAATCTTAAAATTGTGCAGAACTTTTTTTTTTTGCGGAAAAACTTCCAATCTATTCATCTTCAATCATGGCAGTACAATGAATATCAGAAATAAAAATTAAATTCAGAATCATAGACCACCTAGCGACGACTACAAGCACCGAAGCGAGCCGAAGGCGCGCCGCCGTCATCGCCCCTCCATCGCCGGAGCCGGGCACAACTTGTTGTAGTAGACAGTCGGGAAGTCGTCGTGCTAAGGCCCCATAGGACCAGCACCCCAGAACAGCAACCGCCGCCGATGAAAAATAACGTAGGTCGAAAGGATCCAAACCGAAGGCACACGAACGTAGACAAACAACGACGAGATCCGAGCAAATCCACCAAAGATAGATCTGCCGGAGACACACCTCCACACGCCCACCAACGATGCTAGACGCACCGCCGGAACAGGGGCTAGACGGGGAGACCTTTATTCCATCTTCAGAGAGCCGCCGCCGTCTCGCCTTCCTGAGTAGGACACAAACCCTAACAAGATTGAAAAAAACGACTAAAAACGAAGCCCTCCCGCCGGCCCTTACCAGGATCCACCGCGCCTCCATATGCTGGCGCCAGCGAGACGAGGTGGACCTGCGCCGGCGCCAGCGAGAGGCACGAACCCTAACTTTCTTTCTTGGAGAAGGAGGAGGAGGAGGCGGAGTCACCGTACTACTTATAATTGTGCAGAACTATTACATAGTTGTACTCTACAAAAAGGCAGAAGGTTGTACTCATTTGCTGGGACATAAGTCTATCTCTATAGCTAAGCAATTTGTTAAGTGGAAGAGAGAAAAAGTAACCTTGCGACCTTTGCTTGCCCCTATTAGAAATGACCATGATCATTGGTGGAGACGGTAGCACAGGCTACGTACGGCCGGCCGTCCAACAATTGGATAGGGGTGCAGGCCTTGTGTCCTGTTTTTGCCGGTTGCGACTATTTTTATACTTTTGATTTGGTTTTCATACTTGAGATGTTACTCATACTTTGCTGCTATTCGGTTAAAAAATGTCTCTGTGCATCCCTTGATGGAGAAGCCGGGGGTATTCCTCCTTTTTGAAAAAGAAAATAAAATTGGTCCGCTTAAATAAAAAGCACAGGATAGATGTGCTTTGCCAACCTTTGCCTTTACTTTAACAAAAGTAACAAAGGTGGTATGCGTCAGCTTGATTCCTCTTCTTTATGGATTCGTTTCGTCTAACGTACGAAGGCATGCACACCCATGTGCTCTATGCCAGCGTGCAAAGGAAAATGATTTCTTTTATATGCGTCCACCATAAATGTGTCTAAGGCAGAGAAAGAAATATATTCGTAGAGGAGTGGAGAAGAAGCGATTCTAAGCTTGGGTATGACAGCCAAAATGAGAGATGTGAAGAGAAGGAGTGTGGCGGACACTGCTGAAAATAACAAGCATGCATTGAGTGATGAAACAGCAGTCTTTCCATCAGCGTCGATCATTCTTTTTTGCCTGCTGCTGCTGTGTTTCCTACTCCCTCCGTCCCATAATACAAGACGTTTTTGCTAGCTAACATAGCTAGCAAAAACGTCTTATATTATGGGACGGAGGGAGTAGTTCCCTGACCTTGGTTAATGTGCGCCATTCCTCTGGAGAATTACGCACGACAGCCTGCCACAACGATGTTTTGTAGTATGGATCATTGCCAATGTGCGCCAGTTTCTCTAATTATGTTGCCTCATGAAGAACAAGTTGAATCAATATTGATTGTCGTGAACTTGTGACAAGAAAAGGCTAATTTTCATTTTAGTTTATTTTTTAAAAAAATCGTATCATTTATTTTGCTCTTGTCCAATTGCATTCGTACAAGCGCATGACGGCCAGGCCGCTGGGGTGCACCTCTGTAGAGAGCTGCAGCGCGGTGCTGCTCACTTGGGCCTGCCCATAAAATGCTCTCACCTCTTTGATTTTGCCAATAATGGAGCCAACGGTGAGTATGTGTGTGTTTTTATGAGCAGAGAAAAGAAAAAACGGATGACAATTTATGAGCAGAGAAACAAAAACTCCATGTGTGTAAACTAATTCAATTAGACTTTTTGCATGCCTTTTGAATTCTGGTTCAATTAGACTTTTTGCATGCCTTTTGAATTCTGGTTTATGTTCCTTCACGCCTAATTTGTTTCATACACATTTATGTGTTTCAGAGTTCTGGAGTTTAGTCATCTGGATGTTCCGATTTGTAAAGACATATAAGTTTCCTTTAGTAATCATTTTTAATTATTTATATATCATTAAGTTAACAATATTAATCATGTTTTTAGTATGACACAACTCTACTTTTCTATTGTATTTATGTAATAATAAAACTCAAAGTTCATTGTTGTAATTTCCAGATTTTCCCATTGTTACAAATACAAAACTACTACGATAGAACTCCAGTAATCATCAAAATATTTTACAATATTTCGCTGAACAAAAAAAATTTAAATATAACCCGGGCAAAAAGCAAATAACGAAAACACATTTATCTATGGTATAACTTGTGCCAATAATTAGATATACATTCTGTGACCACATCTAGTTTTTCTATATTAAAATATTAAGATATTTTTCTTATTTAACAAATATGTTAATATAAGTTTCTGGAGTAGGATTGTCTAAGTAATAGAAAATTGAAGAGTGTGTTGTCAACAAAATGGTTTGTCCTCAACTTAGCTCTCTCCGATGATAATTTGCATTGACTATATATATTCATTTTACCATATATATACCTTTTGTTCTTGCCCACCAATGCCATCAAACAAAATTTACTCACCAATGCCACTGAACCGAACCCCAATTGAAATCTCAGACCGCCTCCCTCGTTCCCCTAACTTCTTCCTCCCGAACTCTCTTGTTTCACTACGGAAAAGGATCTCTCTTGTCTCTCGCCAGTCGTATGGCGAACCCTAGGTGGGCTGCTGCAAGCCCACGACCAATTGACATAGGGAATTGATTTTGTAAGCACTATCATTATAATTTGTGATGATGAAATGAGAATGAATGTCATTTTGCTTATGTTTTGGTGTGAATAAATTGTAATGTGTGTTTGGTGGTAAGTGCAAGTCTGAGGCAAAAATAAAAACAAGCCATGTAACAGGAAACCCTTTGAAGACCATGTGTAATAAGACTGTCCTTGTGTTGCTCGGGATTGTGAGATGCCTCAGATACATAATTATTTTATATGTCCTCAAATAACACCATCAACGATAGTGGTTGCCTAGTGTGCAATCAGAACCGTTTGGAATGGTGTTACCGAGCCATCTGTGGCAAGGGTTTCTAGTTATTGAAATACGAAGGTACCAAAAGGATCATGAAACCCAATCTCAGACCATCTCCCTGGTTCTACCAACTCCTTCCTCTCAAACTATCTCGTCTCACCATAGAAAAGGATCTCTTTTGTGTCGAGTCGTACGACGAACCCTAGGTGCGTCGCCACAAGCCCGCAACCACAACTTAACCATAAGGAATTGATTTTGTAAACATTGTCATCATTATTTGTGATGATAAAATGAGAATGAATGTCATTTTTCATATGTTTGGATGTGAATTATGTGAAACATGTGTTTGGTGATATATGTGCAAGTTTGAGGCAAAAAAGAGAAGGCATCCCAATTGGCTGCCATTTGAGAACCATCTATAACCAGAGGATACTCCGCGTGTTGATGCGAGAATTGGTTGATGAAAATTTGGCTTAATAACATGAGAACCAAACCAACATATATATGACTTGTTGTATTTGATTATGTATAACTATAACAATATTTATTGAATATAAGTATAATAATTAAATAGAAAACATTTTTTCATGCATGGTTGAATGTTGTGGTGGGTCTTTTTTCATGCATGATTGCATATTGTGGTGGGTCGTCTTATCCCATTTATAATTGTATGATGAGTTGGCATGCTTGAATGTTGAGATAAATAAATTAGTGATGATGACTCTTTTATGTAAATAGGATAAGACCGTCCCCATCGTAGACGGTTCAGGATGGTGACTTAGTGAGCTTTCTCAAATACATAATTATTGTATAGTCTTTAAATAAAGGGTTTTTATCATTTATGCCACTAGTTGTGTTTCAGCACTCAGTTTTGCCACTGGGAGTTTCAACTGCTAAGAAATGGCATCACTCTGTTAGGAGTATGCTAAAAAATGCTACTAGACACCATTATTGTCAGCTGAAAGACCGTCTACGATGTTATATGACCAAAATGCCCATGGACTAACATATCTGCTCTCCCTCTATCTCATACGATAAAAAGTGTGAGCCCCACTCGAGCCCCAACAACATTCTTATTTTCCTCTAAAATCATTCGCATCTTAGTCCTGACAAGTGGGGCACGTACTTGTCATTTTGAGATAGAGAGAACTCACATGTGGTTCTATGGTTATTCTGGTCATATAACATGGTCAATAGGTTTGACCTGACAATAACGATGTTGAATGACATTTTTGAG